CCCGGCTGGCTGCGGGGCATGCAGGTAGCGCAGCAGTTCCTCCAGGGTGGTGACTTCCACAGCCTGCCCGGGGCAGCCGCGTGGCGGTGGCCTCACTAGCACGCGCGGCGCCGAGCCGCCTGGCGCGCTCCCGCAGCGCACAGGGCCCGGGGCCTCCTTCGCGTTGTTCCCGTTCTGGTTCCACTCCCAGGGACCCCCGGCGTTGCGGAGGTGCTTGACTGGCAGCTCGGGCGTGGACTCCGGGGTGGGCAGGCAGGCCAGGTCGGGTGGGGGCCCGGCCTCCGGGGGAGGCAGGAAGGTGGTGTAGAGCTGGGGCATCTGCGCGGTGTCTCCATCCTTGGAGGGTGGTGGCGGCTCAGGGCCCGGCCCGTGCAACCGGGCCAAGCTTCGAAGGGAGAGAGGGCGCGGGAGTCCGGGGGTCTCCATGTCCTTGCTCCGACGTCGGTGGGCGCGGCGACAAGCGCAGGAGACCAGGAGGCCAGAGACTGAGGCGCCCAGGGCGAAGGCTGCGGCCACACAGGCCAGGAGCAGTGGGATGGGGACAGAGCGCGAGGCTGAGGCTGCTGGGAGGTCCCGGCGCACACCTGCCAACCAAGAGGGAGGAGGCTGAGGGAAAGCAGCAGGGCTGGCTGGGGCGGCAAGTTGCAAAGTTCCACCACTCCTGCTGCTGCTCAGCTTCACTCCAACACTTCTTTGACCCTCCTCAGGAATCCCCTCCCCTAACCCTTCCATACACACAACCCCTCACACCACCCCTCACACACAAAGCCAGAGTCCCCATTCCCAGCTCTGGCACCTGAAGCCAAGCCAAGAGCAACTGCCAAACTGCCCCTGCAGAAGGAGGCGGGTCTGGGATGCCCACCTCTGGGGAGGGGAGGCTCCAAACAGGCATTAGTGAGCACCAAACACAGGTCGGTAAAGGGCTTAGAATTCTTCAAGAACCAGCAGCCCCACACTTCACTCCTGTCCCTCCCAGCCAGCCCCCTTACCCTGAGTGTGAGCTCCAAGAGTGGAAGACTGGGGCCGGGGGTGGGCATCACTGGGGGGGCTGGGGGTCTCAGGGGAAGGGCCAGGACCCAGAAGCACTGGTGACAGAGACCAGGTCAGAGCCAGTGAGGCTCCTGCTCTCCACCTCTGACACCCATTGAGCAGTTCTTTCCCCTCCCACACCCACTTGGAACTCCAGTCTCTATTTTCCTCTGGCTGCGGGGAAGGGCTCACCATGCAGGACATTCATTTATTTGTTCAAAAACTATTTATTAAGCACCCTATTATGTGCCAACCACTGAGCTATATGCTGGGTATTTGGAAGATGCTAACCCTGTTTTAAGACTCTCTCAGGGTGTCCAGGGCACTGGTCTGCTGCTGCCCTGGACACAGACTTGAGTGAGCGTGGGATGAGTGAGGGAAGTAAAGTTGGGATAAGAAGACTCACCATAAGCAGAGTCCCCCGCGCCAGACTGACTCCCAGTAGCTCCGTCTATGAAGGGAGAGAGGGTAAAGATGGGAGAAGCGGGAAACTTCATGAAGAACTGATAGGGTGACTGTGCCACAGAAAGGGAGAAAGACTAAACCTATGCCTGCATAGTATCTGTGACCATCAGAACCATGCGCAGTTATGGATGGAGCTGCATCCTCCCCTTCTGTTTACCTTGGCAGTCACCATGCTCCAAGGATTCCTGGTTCCCAGCTGGATCCACATCAGTCCTAAGAGGATATGGAGATGTCTCAATGCAGTTATACATCTCGCCCCCATCCCCCACCCTGGCCCTCAGCTTCCTCTCTTAGTGGTGGGGAACTTTCTCCTCAGGAGATCCAGGGACCCCTCACTTACCCACCAGGTCCCCTGATATCCACACAGCCTCTGGAGCTATGCCATCCACAGTATGGGTCCTGAGAAGCCAAACAGCTCCTAGGGAAAACTGAGTCATGTGAGGCTGGGACCTTCTCCATTCTAATCACATTCCATTCCCCTGCCTCTTCTACTCTCACCCTGGCCTACAGAAGGCTTCTAGTCCAATATTCCCATCCTATCCACCCCAATCCCTATTCCAGACCCTAGTTACTGCCCACCTTCAGAATGCTTGAAGCAACTCCCCACCAACCATCCCCTATATTTCCCTGCCATCCCCAGGGCCTGCGTTCGGGAGCTCCTGCTGGCCCAGGGAGCCCACCCAGGCAGGACCTAGCCTCAGGCCCCTCTCACCTCCTACAGGCCCCATGGCGGGCACACCGACTGAGAGGGAGGTAGATGATACAGCCAGAAAAAGCCACAAAGAGTCTGTGACCTTCAGTGTCCAGCTCCAGCCCTATCACCTGCCGTGCTGTTTGGGCCGCCCGCTTCCCACTGCACCTAGGGTTAGGCCAGAAGGAATCAGAGAAGGGGCAGGCCTGGTGAGGTTCCTTTTTCCCTGAAGGTGGGGAGGGGCACAAGCAACTAAGTACAGCTCATGGGGCTGATGTTCCTGAGTGACCACCCTGCCCCACCACACTGTCCAGCTCTTCACTAGGCCCCTCTCTCTACCCCACAGCTTCTGCCCTATAGAAGCCAATGTTGGAGTTCCCACCCCATTCCCACATTCCCATCTCCCACCTCACATCCCATTCCTGCTCTGCGGACCCTGCCAGAGAAAGGCCTTGTGTCCTCACCGGGAGGGGCTGTAGGCATTGATCTCTTCCAACAGGATGGGTTCACGTCCCCCAGATTGCCCCCCCGGGGGCAGCACTTTCAGCACTGTCCCATCATTGGAGCCGAGGAACAGGACTGTGGTGTTACTATAGAGACCAGCCGTGCCATCCACAGCTACCTGGGTCAGGAGAGCCCTGGAGAAATAACCTCAGGTCAGGGCAACCTGACTAGTGGAAGCTTGGTGTTTCAAGGACAGCCCATATATCCTGGGCCCTTTCCTCAGCTCAGGGTTTTCTTTTTAGCTCTCTCCCTTCCCTTCCACTTTTATGGGTACTTCCTCCCACCACTGTGATTTACCTTGTGGGGTCAGAGAAGTGGCTGAGATAGGAGGGTGGTGGTCAGCGTTTTTTAGCCCCATACCTGCTGGTGAGGGTGAGGAGAGGCTGGTGGGTGGCAGATGGCACAGCAGGGTCCAGCAGTGGGTGAGCCTTGATGAAGGTCAGGACATCATCAGGGAGATCTCGGGAAGAGGGGAACAAGGCAGCTACACCTACTCCTGCACAGGATCCTGGCCTGGTGGGCATATGGGAAGGGGCAGCTTAGGGCAGGGGGCTGGGACGTAGGCCCTGTGCTCCCCACACACACACTGCTCCTAAATATGATGCGTAGCCCTTGCTTCCCCTCCACACACACTACTGCTTCCCTTCCCAGTTGGAGCACCAGTCCCACTGCCAACGCAGCATAGCACTTTCCCCAGGCCCTGAACCTTTCCTTACAATCCCACTTGCTTTTGCCCACAAAAGCCACCCCCATCCTGGGTACCTGGGGGAGGGGACCCTGTCCTCAGACACAGGGGTCCAGGCCCCATCCAGACTCCTCTGCTCCTTGAACTTGCCCTCAAACCCACGTTCAATATCATCCAGGTAGAAGGCACAGACTGCAGAGCCAGGAATGCTGAGGGAGCCAGAAAAGGATGTGGGCTCGGTGTTGGGAGGGACAGCACAGCTCCTCCCAGGTAAGACATGGCAGCTACCCTTCATGCACCATATTAGGGGGCAGAGCCTGAGAGGGTGGGGGTGTTCCTGGGTGTCATGCTAGGAGAAAAAAGATGGGCAGAACAGCAACTGGCTTTGAATGGAGGGTCCCCTCACTGGCCCCATCAGTAAGCTCTGAGAGAGAAGCTTGGGTGCTGGTGGGGCAGGGGACAGATTGGGCTGCACTGGTTAGTACCAACCTGTTGGTTTGGGTGCTGAAGACTCCAAAGAGAGCAGAGCGGCCATGAAAGTTCACAGGCCCAGTTAAGGCCTGTAAGACATCAAAATAGAAGGCAGAGTCCCCAGGAACAGAGCAGTTGAGCCGAAGCTTCAGAAAGGATGTCCAATGACGATCCAAGGCCCGAGGTGAGCCACCCATGTCACGCTTACACACACGGGCCACACGGGAGAACTGTACCTGAAGGGGGAGAGTCGGGGACAGGAGAACAGTGAGAGACAAGCTCAGGGCCAGCAAGGCAAGAGGCATGCAGTGAGTTAGAGCACCAGGACACAAATGTTAGGGGCACAGCAAAGGAAGGGTGTGCTGTACTAGGCCAGTTTGGGTTAAGGATGGGGGACACAGCAGGATATGGGGGCAGAGGGCTGGTGGTGACTCCAACTTGGGGGCCCAGAGTCTAGGGAATTGCATTGTGGAGATTAGGGTTAGGAACTGTCCCGACTCTGACTGCCTTCGCAGGATCCAGAACCCTCAGCTACCCACCCCTGATGCCCACCACCTCCTTACCCTCCCCAGCCGGACATCCTCCACAGAGACCTCCCGGAAGAAGAAGTAGACATGGTCTCCATGCTCCAAGGCATGGACAAAGTGTGGCTCTGAAGGGGGGTGACAGGAAAGGGTATGGAAGGGTATCTATACCTGCTCAGAAACTCCTGGCCCCGCACAGCGTCTCCCCTCTGCATATACATGGACACTGCCACCACCATCTGCTTGCTCCCTGCCACAGTCTTCCCATGCACCTCCTCCCCAAGAGCAGCCTCCCTCCCCCAGGCCCGCCCTGACCTCGGAGCCACTTGGAGTCGTACTTGGCGGAGCGAAGTGGGGGCTGAGGGCCAAGGCTTCTGTAAACTACAGCGTCACTGGCCTGGAAATCTGCAGCTGTGGCTGAATACAGGCTGCCCTCTGGAGGGATGGGTAGGGTAGGGTCAGGGGAGGGTTGGGGATTGGTATTCTGGTTCTTCTTGAACCTCCCACACCCCTACCTTGGCCTGACTCTGGCCTCTGCCTCAATCCTCTACTTGGGGGGTGGGGGGGAGACCAAATTGGGAGAGGGGCTATGGTGGGAGCTCCATCTAGCTGCATGCCTGCTTCTCACGTGCCCAAGTGCACACCTGCAAAGACGGCCACGTTGGACTGGGTGGCATCAAAGGGGCATCGAGCTTGCCCACTCAGTTCCTCACCCTCCTGCTGCAGTGAAGTTATCTGGAAGCAGAGGGAGCAGGTTCTTGGAACCCTTGGGGTCTTGGCTCTGTAGCCCACTTCCTCATGTCCCCTTGCTTCCTTCCCCCAACCCCTTCTGGACTGGACCCCTGCACTCTGAGCACTCCCATTCTCCCACCCCCACTGGTCCGTCCAAACCAAACTGATTGTTCACTCAGGTATTCCTC